GCTATCTCATCCTCCACCAAAATCTTACCAATCCCATGTCCCATTCCCTTGGGGCCACCTGGTTGGCACTGAACCTGGTGGCCAATCACAGCTTACAGATTTCTGAGGTTAATTAATACAGTCATTCCAGGCACTGAGCCAGGTAGGGAAACGATAAAGTTTGAGAAATTTCTAGTGTCCGACTCCACAATAAGTGTTCCAGCTATCCCAGAAGAGCTAACTTTTCTACGTGAGAAGAGAAACATGAAGACCTTAAACCAGACTCCCAGTTGTTTGGGGGCAGGGGGTTGTTTGTTTGTTTGTTTTGGGTGTTTTTATTTTGTTTTGTTTTGAGACAAGCTCTCTCTATGTAGCCCTGGTTGGTCTTGAACTCAATCACAGCGACTTCCCAGAGTGCTGGTATCATAGGTGTGTGCCCTGACTGCCCCACCCCCACCCCAGGGTTCTGGCAACCCTAACAAACTAAGACAGTGGTTAATTAAAATCAGAAACTTGGGGGGGGGGGGAGAAACTCTGGAGGAAGCCTGGCCGATCCCTTATATCATCTTAGGTAAGTTACTTTGCTTCTTGGTGCCTCAGTTTTCCATATGATAAATAGACATGTTTATAGTACCTACATCATAGAGTTGCTATAGAGTGAAGAAACATACAAAAACAAAACAAAAAACAAAAGTATAAGAACAAAATACTCAGGCTGGGGCTGTAGCTCAGTGGTAGAGATTAGCATTTATGTAACCCTGGATTCATCTCCAGAATGAAACAAAAACAGCACTCAGCAACTGGGAATGTAGCACAGCAGTAGAGCACCTGCTTAGCATACATGAGGGAGGCATTAGCATGCATTTGGGGGGGGGGGGGCAGGGAGCCAGGCATAGTGGCGCAGGCATATAATACTAGCATTTGGGAGCCCTACGCAGGAGGATCACCATGATTTGAGGCCAGACTGGGCTAAATAGTAAATTCAAAGCCAGCCTGAATTATATATCAAGACCCTCTCTGAAAAGGAGGAGACACTCAGGAAACAATCTCTGGTACACAATAAGTAATCTATAGATACTCATTAAGTGAATTTTAGAGGAGAGGGAATTTTTGTTTGTTTGTTTTGGGGGGGGGTTTTTTTTTGGTACCGGGGATCGAACTCGGGTTCTTGGGCTTTCAAGGCAGGCAGCAGAACCACTGAACTAAATTCCCGGCCCAAGTGAATTTTATTTCTCTAGACAAAGATGAATGAACAGGCCCATCCTGAAGAACTAAAGTGTTATCTAAAATAAAAGGGTCACCAGGCAATAGCATTCCCATTATGGCAGCTCTTTACTCCTAATAGCCTGGAGGCTCTTGGGGCAAAAATTTATTCCTCTGTATGACAAAGGTTTAGCAAAAGATAGCATTTAGGAAGAACTTGCCAGACCAAATAATTTCCAAACATTCCCAGGGGCCATATGTCAAGGGTTAGTAACTGATTCTTTATGGAAGGAGCAGGGCACATTTCTAAAAGTTTTCTTTGGTTTCTTTTCACATTTGCTATAATTTAAAAACAGTTTCTGCTAGGGCCAGGGGTTTTGCTCAGTGGTTCTGTCCCCTGACTCGAAAGTGCAAGGTCCTGAGTTCAATCCCCAGTACCAAAAAAACCCCAGTTTCTGCTGAGCATAGTTTTTGTTTTGTTTTTGGTACCAGGGATCAAACTCAGAGCCTTGCGCTTTCGAGGCAGATGGCAGAACCACTGAGCTAAATCCCCAGTCCTCTGCTGAGCATAGTGATGCAATTTGTAATCCCAGCACTCTGGGAGGCTGAGGCAGGACGATAGCAAATTTGAGCCCAGGCTGGGTGGGTTAGTTAGTGACTTAGTGGCTGTCTCAAAAACTTTTTAAAAAGGGATGGGATGTAGCTCAGTGCAAAGGCCCTGAGTTCAATCCCCAGTACTGAAAAAAAAAAAAGAAAAGAAAAGAACCTTCCTCTTCCTATAGCTCTTTTCTAGCATTACATTTTGTGTGCATTATTTTTAAACCTATGTCTGTGAATTATAATATCTGAAATCCATGTTGATTTTCTTCCTGCTGTCTTGGGAGCCTGGTTGTCAGTGACTGTGTATGCCAGTCATTCCTTGAAAAATTATCTGTGGTGGCCAAATGGGATGGTGCATACCTGTTTGCACCTCTGCCCCAAATGGTGGCCAGAATCCTCCTGCTGACGGAGGGAGCTTCATTTACCAACTCTCCTCGGGATGGACCATCTGGGGAATATTGTGTTGGTTATCACCGCTGCCTCTGGCTGTACAAGACTCTCCAGATTTCAAGTCCGGCCTCTGTTTCTTTTTTTTTTTTTTGGTACCGGGATCGAACTCGGGACCTTGTGCTTGTGAGGCAGGCACTGGAACCACTGAGCTAAATCCCCAGCCTGGCCTCTGTTTCTCAGGGAGTGGCCGAGTTGTTTCCTCGGGTCCCCACTGGGGTGGGTACACCTTAGATTTGCTGGGTTGAGTGTTCTTCAGTCTGCATAATTATTTCTTTTGTAGCAATGGATCCTATTTTCTTCTTCTCCTCTGTTCATTCCCTTGATATTCTCGAATGACCCCTACACCTCCCTTTTTTGGGGGGGGCTTCAGGTTGGTGATTTCCAGGTACCAGGCACCTTATCCTGGAGGAACTGTGCTCATGGCATTCACGGTTCCGCCATTTTTGGCTTCTGGTACACATCTGTAATCCCAGCACTCAGGAAGCTAAAGCAGGAGGATTGCCGTGAGTTCAAGGCCAGCCTGGGGTACATAGTGAGTTTAAGCCCAGCCTGAACTACAAAGTGAGACCCTGTCTCAAAACAAACAAAAAAATTATCTGTAGATAGTTATCTGATTGATATGCTCTTCTTCAGAGAGGCTTTGTTTTTGTTTTTTGCCACAGGTGTGCAGGCACACCCAAACAGTATCATGTGAACCAGGTTCCCAGTTTACAGTTTTGAGATTTCTTGATCTACCAGGCTGTACTCCCTGGGCTGTAGAGGATTCATCTATGATCACAACTTCTCAAGAAAGAGCTTTAAAAACAATCCCCAAACTGGGCATAGTGGTTCACACCTGTAATCCCAGGACTTTGAGAGGTTGAGGCAGTAGGACTGTAAATTCCAGCTCAGCCCGGGGAAATTAGTGATTTAGTGAGACCTTGTCTCAAATAAATAGGCTGGGGATGTAGCTCAGTGCAAAGGGTCCAATCCCCTGTACCATCAAAAAAAAAAAAATCCCCTTGCCTTTCTGTTTAACTTTTCTACTTAGCACTCAGCACCCAAGCTTTTCCTGATGTTTCCTGGGGCTAGTGGTATGGGCTGTGCAGCAGGTTCATCTCACATTACACTGAAAGGTGAGACCCCTTGGTGTGTCTCACCTTCATGTGAAGAGATTTTGTTCTAAGACTCCACTTGGGGCAGGCCCTGGACTTTCACTTCTGTCTCTCTTGCTCTGTGTGACTGACAAAGTGAAAGTCACATGTTCAGTATTTGTAAATGCCTTCATATGCTAAGTGGTTTTCCATGTTCCAATATTTGAATCCTCTCGTTACTTGTTACTGGCTTTCACTCAATAATTGGCTTGGGAGTGCTCGCTTCGGTAGCACATATAATAATTGGCCTGGGAATTCCTCATACTTTTAAGCTATATCTATGTCTCTATATATTATTTAAAACATGAAAGCCCTGTAGATTCACTTCTTAGACACACCCATCACCCACAGTGTGGCCATGGCAGCCAGTGGTGTTGGTGTGCTGGCCTCGGACATGTGGATCTATGAATATGCCAAAAGGAAACCCATTATTCTGTATAGCTAATATGCATAAATAAAAAATGATAATAAAACCATTCTCTCACTGACTTCTGATATTGTCCTCTGACAGTGATCCAGGCAATTATAGGTACATTTCACTAGCCCAAGTACAAAGGGGACACCCTCCCAAGTCACAGCCATCACTCAATGTCTAGCTGTTATCCAATGACAACTCCACAAAGTAACATCATAGGGAAATGCCACCCATCAATGCTCTGGAAGATGACAACCCAAAACCTATTATTTCAACAAACATCCATCATGTACCAAGGGCTGAGGTTACATCAGAAAACATGGCAAACAGCTTCCTGTTCCCATGGAACTAAGAGTCTGCTAGGGTCAATGGATCATGGGCATGTAGCAAATAATTTAAAACCAGTGTTCCCAGTATCGAAACAAACAAACAAACAGTGCTCTAATCCCTGAGCTATGGAACCAATTGCATATAGCAAACAGTTTAAACATGTCTTAAATTATGAAGAAAAAAACAAGGTGATGAGTCAGCAACTCTTTCTTTTCCTGTACTAGATGTCGAACCTAGGGGCGCTCTACCATAGAGCGACATGCCCAGTTCTTTAAAAACAAAAAACAAAAAACAAAAAACCAACAGCAACAACAACAAAATTTGAGACAGGGTCTCGCTAATTTGCCCTGGCAGGACTCAGAACTTGTGATTCTCTAGACTCAGTCTTCCTCAATGCTGAGATTACAGATATGTCCCACCATGCCTACCTAGAAGTTTAGATTTTAAGAATAAGTGTAAGATATTGATTGCCATGTGATTTATGCTTTAAGAAGATGATCGTCATGCTGGCTACCTTCTCCGAACTGTCACCGGTAAAGATGAGGCGGAGTACTTCCCAGTGTCACCACATAAAACTTAATTATCCCAACTCTGAGGGTGGCTCCTGTTCAAAACCTTCTTCAAAGCCCACAGGCTACACGCCTCCTTCCTAGTCCACCTGCGAACCGAACACGCCACTAAGGAAAATCCTTTTTGATTGGACAGGTCCGGGATGCCGAATCACTGTGATAGCTTACAGGCTCTCCTTTCTCTTCCAATCAGACAGCTATTCCGAAGAGTAAAAGCGTCCCATACATGGTATGAACAAATCCGTTCTGTGATTGGCTCTTCCTGTATGAGTGACGACAGATCCAGCCTATGGGCTCAACCCCGAGGCTGTACTACCTTGGGGCAGAGTGCCTCCGGAACTGGTGCTGTCAGTGAGTGTCCAGCTGGGTCCCTCTAGACCGCGCGTCTCCCGCGCTATGGCCGCCTCTTCGCAGCTGAAGGCTCTACTCCAGGCGGTTAACACACTGCTGCGCAAGCGCCGCTACCACGCTGCGTTGGCCGTGCTTAAAGGCTTCCGGAACGGGGCCGTGTGAGTGGGGCTGTCGGGCGGGCAGGGGCTGAGGAATCGGCTTGGTTGGGGTCGGAGGCAAAAGTTCGAGGTCCGGCTCCGCCCCTCCCCCGGTGCCCTTGAGCAGTCCTCGTGTGTCTCTAGGTCTCGGTAGCCACCGTCTATACAATAGGAGTTGGATTTTGGCTTCTGAGCTCGTTGCCAGCGCTGAGTCAAGGCTCCCACCGCGCTGTTTCTGGGTTCACCTGCTTTACAACCTGGCGCTACTGGTTTAACCCTCTTTCTGCAGCACCTGCACCCCCTTATTTGGGTCAGGTCACCCTGCCTCACTGTGTGCTCTTTGGACTGCCTGGCCTCCCTAGCCCCGTCTGCACAATAGAGAACTGAATTCTGTCCTTTAGCAGGCAGGCAGACACCCCCACCCCCAGTAAGCTGCCCATGGGCTCACATCCTTATACTATGAGTGCAGGGCTAAATCCTCATTTGGTACTGGGGATTCCTGGGATGTGACAGTGGATGTGAAAAAAAAAAAAGCTGCAAGTATTTGCTAGGCATGTTGATCTCACATCATTCTGGCATGAAGAGCTCCTGGGGTCATTTCACATGGCTGAGCTTGGTCTCCTTTAAACCGCCTGTATAACAGCCACCATCTATACAAGCCCTACTGTGCAAAACTGGCAACAAAGCAGAAATAAACCAGAGAAGGTCTGTGTGTCCCTGGAGTTCGCATCCTGGTGGCAATGCAGCATGGTAGTGAGCATGTGGCCTGTCAAGATTTGAATCCTGGTGTCACTTACCTATATGATCTTTTTTTGTTTTGGTTTGGTTTGGTTTTCTGGTACCCAGGATCTAACTCAGGACCTTGCACTTGTCAGGCAGGTGCTGACACCACTGAGCTAAATCCCCAGCCCAACCTATGACCTTGAGCAAGTCATTTATCCTCTCCAAGCCCCTGTTTCTATAAAGAAAGTATATCATACTGTCAGAGGACTGAGTCAGTATGTGTGACATGCTTAGCATAGCACTAGGTATATATAGAAACTGTTGTCTTTTACTCTTGTTATATTCACATGATGTCCATGTCCACTTCCTCACCTTTCACCGTCCTCTGCTTAAGTTTCATCTGCTTATTGAGGCCGTCTGTGAATTCCCATCATCACAGGACACAATAGTTCACTTGTGTATCTTGGTGTTTTGTTTTTGCAGTACTGAGGACTGTACCTAAGTCCTCATACATGGTAGGCAAGCACTCTACCACTGAGCTGCATCCCTGGCCCTTAATTTTATTTATTTATTTATTTATTTATTTATTTATTTATTTATTTATTTTTGAGACAGGGTCTTGCCATGCAGCCCAGGCTGGCCTCGAACTCATGGTGATCCCCCTGCCTCAGCCTCCCAAGCAGCTGGGATGATGGGCATGTGCCACCATCCCTGGCTGTATCTTGCTGTTATAGTCCATTTCTTTCACTAGAAAGTGAGCTTCATGAGGATAAACACCCCCCCGCCCCATGGTGCTGAGGATCGAAACCAGGACCTCAAGTACACTAGGCAAGTGCTCTACAATAGAGCTATATCTCCAGTCCAAAGACAGAAATTTTTACCTACTTTGTCCCATGGTATACCCCTAGCACCTCCTACATATCAATAGGATCTCAGGTATTTATTGAAAAAAATGTATGAATGAATGTGTGCAAAGTATGAATGTGTGCAAAGTAGGAATTGGCATGACCATGGCTTAAAGATATATACCCATTGTACATGTCAGTTGAAGCCAGGATTCAAACCTACAAAGCCCAACCCCAGAGCCAGCCAGGATCGTGGTTTCCATGGGAACTCAGGCCCAGGTAGAAGCTTGTTCCCAATGGACTTGACCAGATGATAACAGCAACTATTTGGTGTGGCCAGGGTAGGGTGGACCCTGAGGTGGACCTTTGCCAAGGACAAAGTGTGAACAGAAGTCTCACAGCCCAGGCCCATCAGGTATTGCCCAACATTGGCTTTGTGTACCTTTCCTCACTCCAGCTCTCCCTGTCCTATCAGAGAACCTTCCCAGCCAGGATCAACATTTTAAGTCAGGCCCTTGGGCTGTAATCTCATCCGTGTGTGTGTGTGTGTGTGTGTGTGTGTGTCTACTGGAGGATTGAGCCCAAAGCCTATGCACTAAGCTACATCCTCAGCCCTTTTTTTTTTTTTTTTTTGGTACCAGGGATCAAACTCCGGACCTTGTGCTTGTGAGGCAGGTGGCAGAACCACTGAGCTAAATCCCTAGCCCTCCCCCTTTTTTTTTTTGGTACCGGAGATCGAACTCGGGACCTTGCGCTTGCGAGGCAGGCCCCAGAACCACTGAGCTAAATTCCCGGCCCTATTTTTAAAAGATATATCTGGGAGAGCATGCGAGGCACCCTCGTAGGGAAGGGGGAGGGGCCACCGCTAGCGAGATCGAATTCCCGGAAGTGCTCAGCTTCACGTGTAGAGTGCTTGGGAGCAATTGCTCGCGCACGCCGGGTCGTGGCTTGTGTTTCAGCACGTGGCTGCGCTCCTGGCCCGCGGGCGCCCTGGAGCCACCGGGCTGGGTGGAAGAGGCGGTGTCCTCCCTTACTATCCCAGAAGCGTTGTTGCGGCGGGCCAGAGTCCAGCCCCGCCCCGCCGCTCCCATCACTCCCTAGAAGGTTCATCTGCTCCTTCGTTGACTGCGGCGCCAGTTATGCCAAGGCCTGGAAGCTCGGACGCGCACCTGTGCAAGCACACAGGGGAGAGGCCATTTGCTTGTGACTATGAAGGCTGTGGCAAGGCCTTTGTCAGAGACTGCCATCTGAGTTGCCACATCCTGATTCATACTGGAGAAAAGCCATTTGTTTGTATAGCTAATGGCTGTGATCAAAAATTCAATACCAAATCAAACCTGAAGAAACATTTTGAACGCAAACATGAAAATCTGCAAAAACAATATGTAGTTGCAAGAAAGCCTTTAAGAAACACCCGCAGCTGAAAATCCACCAGTGCCAGCATACCGGGGAGCCACCCACCGTTCAGGTGTAGCCTGGAAGGATGTGGGAAGCACTTTGCCTCACCCAGCAGCCTGAAGAGACATGGGAAGGTCCACAAGGGCTATATATGTCAAAAGGGATGTTCTTTTGTGGCCAAAACAGGGACAGAACTTCTGAAACACATGAGAGAAACCCATAGAGGTTTATAGAGGAAATAATGTGTGAAGTATGCCAGAAAACATTTAAGCACAAAGATTACCTTAAGAAGCACATGAAAACTCATGCTTCAGAAAGGGCTGTGTGTCAATGTCCAAGAGAAGGCTGTGGTTGAACCTACACAACTGTGTTCAATCTCCAGAGCCATATTCTCTCTTTCCATGAGGAACAGCACCCATTTGTATGTGAACATGCTGGCTGTGGCAAAACGTTTGCCACGAAACAAAGTCTCACTAGGCATGCCATTGTGCATGATCCTGACAAGAAGAAAATAAAGCTCAAAGTAAAACCATCCTGTGGAAATCGGAGTTTGGCCTCTCGCCTCAGTGGATATATCCCTCCCCAAAAGAAACAAGAGCAGGACTCAACTTTGCCTACAGATGGGGAGTTGGAGAGCTGCGAGGAAGATGGTTGCTTTCCACAGTTGCAGTACTCGGCCTCTGCTAGGCGACACCTGGCCTTGGAGAAGGACTACAGACCAGTGAGCTTAGTATAGTTCAGAAGCCTATTTTTCTTTATTAAAATCATGAATGCACCAAAAAAAAAAAAAGAAGAAGAAGAAAAAAAGATATATCTGGGGCTGAGCTCAGTGATAGAGTGCTTGCCAAGCATGCTTGAGGCCCTGGCTTCCATCCCCAGTGGCACAGATAACTAGATGGATGAGCCTGCCTGCAGTGGGAGTTTCAGGATGGAGCCAGGGGAGCAGCTCCACGAGGTCAGTTGAGTGGGCTGTGGAGACCTTTTACGTACATTGTCTACTTCCATCAAAAGTGTAATCAGCCTTCTGAGGCTTAGTGTCCCATTTTATGGTTAGAAAAACCGAGGCTCAGAAAAGCCACAAGCCTGAGGCTACACTACCACAAAGTACTAGAATTTGAATCCAGATCTAATGGGAAATCCAGAATTGTTTCTCCTCCCAAAGTAGTGTTAGAATTTAGGGTGGGGAGAGGGGACAAGTGGTCCAAGGGAGGGCCCAGCAAGAAACAGATGCAGTGATGCCCTAATAACTGTTTTCTTTGTTTCTACAGCTATGGAGCCAAAATCCGGGCCCCTCATGCTCTGGTCATGACCTTTCTCTTCAGGAGTGGCAGGTACCCACCCGCTCTGGACACCCCTCAAACCAGGAGAGAACATGGTCAACCCTCAGTGCTAGGACAGTTGAAGTAGCCTCCCTGCTGGATCTAGCCTGCCCCCTCCACACCTCCTACAGTCCAGCTCTGACCCTGTGTCCCTGCACAGAGATGCCCCCGGCTCCCTGCCATCCTCCAGAGAATCCTGCCTTCCAGACAAGGCCTTCTGCTGCCAGGCGCGTTGTCTCCCACAGTGTTGACACTGGGTTAGGGTCAGGGTTCTGGCACACAGAAATCACTACCATTCCATGCCCATGCCATGTGCAGTGCCACTCCACATATTTGCTCGTGCCATACCCCTTTCAGGGATGCCCTTTCCTCTGCCACCCGCCTTTACTTTCTGGCAGCCCACAGCAGTTCTCTCTGGCTCACATCCTTGGGGAAGCTATCTCTGCACTCTGCCTTGCTCGTGTGTCTTGGCCTTCCTGTGTCTCCAGTAATTTCCCTCACATCCCTTCTCAGGGGCACACAGTTTGTGTGCACACAGACTACCTGGTCCCTAACAGGGTCAAACACAGGCAGCCTACTGCCAAGTTTAACTTGCTAGATTTTCTTTTTGTATTTTTGTTTTATTTCTTTTTGTTTGTTTTGGAGGGTCCCCCTTGAACTTTTTTTTCTTTTTTGTTGTACTGGGGATGGAACCTAGGGTCTTTGGGCTGAACTACATCTCCAGCTCTTTCTTTTTTTTTTTGGTACTGGGATTGAACTTGGGACCTTGCGCTCGCAAAACAGGGAGCGGAACCACTCCAGCTCTTTTTTAATTTTGAGATAGGATTTGATAATTTTCCCAGGGTAGGCTTGAATTTGCAATCCTTGCCCTCAGCTTCCCAGAGTGCTAGAACTATGTGCTTGTACCACCACACCCAGCTTGAACCATTTTTTACTTTTTAAAAATTATTTATTTATTTATTTATTTTTGGTGCTGGGGATCGAACTCAGGACCTTGTGCTTTCGAGGCAGGCACTGGAACCACTGAGCTAAATCTCTGGCCCTTGAACCATTTTTTTAAAAAAAACTGGAACTTTTTCAGCCAGTCAGCAAATATTTTTTGAATATCCACTATGTACCGGGTGATGGCTCATGCATGTAGTCCTAGTACTCTGGGTGGCTGAGGCAGGAGGATCACAAGTTTGACCCCAGCCTAGGCAGCTTAGCAAGATCCTGTCTCAAACAACAAAGACCTAGCTATGTAGCTCAATGAGAAAGCCCTAGGTTCATTCCCCATTACTAAAAATTTTTTAAAAAGAAAGAAAGTAGGACTGGGGATTTAGCTCAGTGGCACTGTGCCTGCCTTGCAAGCGCAAGGTCCTGAGTTTGATCCCCAGCACCCCCCCCCCAAAAAAGGAAGAAAGTAAATGGATTCCTGCCCTCCTAGAACTTACCTTCTATCAAGGACTAGCAGCAAACAAACATAATAAAGAAAGTAGGCAGAATGTTTATTAGCTTTCCAAAACAATGACAGAATACCTGAGAAAATCAATTGAAAAGAGTAAGATGTTAGTTCACAATTTCCAAGTTTTAGCCCATGGTTGGTCCCACTGCTGTGGACTTGTGGCAAACAGATCATGGCAGAAGGGCAGAAGAACAAAGCTGCTCACCCCATGGCATCCGGGAGAGCCCTGGGGCTGCAGCTCAGTGGTGGGGCACTTGCCTAGCACACATGAGGCCCTGGGTTCCATCTTCAGCACCACAGGAAAAAGAGAAAGAAAGGAAGGGGCCAGGGTCCCAATATATCCTTCGAGACCTGTCCCCAGTGACCGGTTTTCTGAAATAGGCTCACCTTGCAAAGTCTCCAGCACCTCCATCGCATCACTTGGGAACCAAGTCTTCTGCACACAAGCTTTGGGGAACATTCCAGACCAGTGTGTCAAAAGGTGATACAGGCTATGAGAAAGAAGAATTGGGCCGGAGGAAGAGGAAGAGGGATCAAGGTGCTGGCGAGGGAGGCAGGTTGAAGAATTAAATCCAGAAAGCAGGGGCCGGGATTTAGCTCAGTGGTTCCAGCGCCTGCCTCGAAAGCGCAAGGTCCCGAGTTCGATCTCCGGTACCAAAAATAAAAAAAGTAAAAAAAAAAAAATTCAGAAGGCCTCCATGAGAAAGCCATGGTAAAATCAAGACTTGAAGCTGGGTGGGGTGGCACACACCTGTAATCCCAGCACTTGGGACACAGGCAGGAGGATTGCCACAAGTTCGAGGCCAGCCTGAACTAATAGTGAGACCCTGTCTCAAAAAAAAAAAAATCAAGACTTGAAGGAGCTGTCAGATGGTTATCAGGGGAAGGAGTGTTCCAGGCTGCTGGCATAGCCAGTGCAAAGGCCCTGAAGTGGGACCATGCCTGGTGAGTTTGAGAAGGCTGGAGCCCAGTGGTTGAAGCAGCAAGAAGACAGAGAGGAGAGTCACAGCAGTAACCTGGTCAGGCTTGTCCAGCTTTAGGTCAGAGAAAGGAATTTGGCTTTTTAAGTGAAACAGGAAATCATTATAAGATTTTTCACTGTGCATGGTGGTGCATACCTGCAATCCCAGCACATGGGAGGCTGAGGGAAGAAGATCCTCACAAGTTCGAGGCCAGCCTGGACTGCATAGTGAGACCCTTTCTCAAAAAAAAAAAAAAAAAAGATTTTGCACAGCAACATCCCATTATTTGGCTTTATTTTATTGTTTTTTTGTTTTGAGATGGGGTCTGGCTATGTTGCCCAGGCTTATCTCAAACTCCTGGGCTTGTGTGATTCTCCTACCTCAACCTCTGAATAGCTAAGACTATAGGTACTCACCACAGTGCCTGGCTTATTTGACTTATGTTAAGAATGTGCTGGGCCGGGGATTTCCCTCAGTGGTTCCGCTGCCTGCCTTGCAAGCATGAGGATCCAAGTTCAAGCCCCGGTACCAAAAAAAAAAAAAGGAATAGAAGAATGTGCTGCCAGGTTTAGAACAGGTTGGTGGGGACACAAGGGCAGCAGAAGGGCAGAAGTGGGTGTGCAGTAGGAGTCTGTGGCAGTGATCCATGTGAGCAACCAGGTGACCCAGACCTGGGTGGTGGCCAGGGGCAGCCTTTAGAAACATCTGGAGGGCAGGGCCTTTGCCAGCACATATGCACTGGGAGGTCTCATGGAAATCCAGCTTCTTGCCTTAGAACTGGAGACATGGGGCAGAACCGGCTGCTCCTGGCTGTCCCCCCTCAGCATTTCCAAGGGCCTGGCCAGCCCACCCACCCATTCATGTCCTGTCCTTCACCTTGAGAGCAGCCCATGCTCTGCTCCCTGATTTCTCTTTGCTGCCCCCTAGTGATTCTTAAAAGATAAATCAAGCTGGGCCAGTGGCACACCTGTGATCCCACCACTGTGGGAGCCTGAGGCAGGAGGATCACAAGTTCAAGCCTAGCCTGGGTAACTTACAATTTAGCAAGACCCTGTCTCAAAAAATAAAAAGAGTTGGAGATGTGGATTTAGCTCAGGGCAAAAGCCCTGGGTTCGACCCTCTACTAAAAAAAATGACCTACTTAACCAGTCACTTCTCAGGATGAAGACAAAACTCAACATGACTCCACCCCTCCTGATCCCCAGCATCTTTCTCCTCACACATTTTCTGCTCATAGCCACAGCGGCCCCTCTTTCTGTACTCCCCACTCTGTCCTTCGCGTGTCCCAAGTCCTCTGTGGGATGCAACAATCCTCTCTGGACCTCCTTGATTCCTCTTTATCCTTCAGATCCCAGGACCAACTCTCTCTCTCTTTTTTTTTTTTTTTTTTGTACCTGGGATCAAACTCAGGACCTTGCACTCAAGGCAGGTGGCGGCACCACTGAGCTAAATCCCCGGCCCAGGACCAACTCTTGTCAGAATTTGACCCTTGTTTTTCTGATTATGTTATATTTCTCTCCTAGGCACCACGAGAGCAGCAAGCAGATTTTTTTTTTAATTGTATCCCCAGACCCGCCACACAGGGACATTCATTCATTTCTTCACGTATTCACTCAAAAAAAGGTTCATTGAACACCTGCTATGTGCCAGGCCCTGTTCTGGGCCCTAAGGATGAACAAGCTGGCTCTAGACACTATTCTCCAGGAGCTTCTACTGGGGTGGGGCAGAGGAAGGGGATGAGAAGAGCTGTGAAGGAAAAGCAAAGCAGGCCAAGGGCCAGAGTGGTGGGCATTGTGTCATGTGTGGTGTCAAAGTGCCTTTCTGAGAAAGTAGCATGGAGTCCAGGCTGGTGAGGGAGCAGCCCTGGGACTGTGGTGGGTAGAGGCCCTTGAGCTCCTTACCTAGTTCAGTTTGTGCCTAGCCCAGGGGTGAATGCCCTGGCAGCAGCCAGCCCCACTCATGGGGCTTCCCTGTGTCTGTGCAGCCTCCGGGAGAAGCTGTGGGCTATTCTGCAGGCCACCTACACCCACTCCTGGAACCTGGCCCGCTTTGTGTTCACCTACAAGGGGCTCTGTGCCCTGCAAGCCCACATGCAAGGGCAGACGCACCAGGCACACTCTTTCCTGGCAGCCTGCCTTGGTGGCATGCTGGTGTTTGGAGAGAAGAACAACATCAACAGTCAGGTAAAGACCCTCCCCTGAAACAGATGGGTGCTGGGGTGGGAGGAAAGGAAATGAAGTCTTGGTTGTCTTCCCTGTCTGAGGTCTGTGATTCACCAGTCTTTGACGTTCGGACAGTCACTCCTTACCCTTAGTTTCCCCATCCATAACCAGGTGGTTAATTGGAATTCTGTGACTCCCCAAATCAACTGTGTGTTCCTCCCTAGAGGAGAGTTTAAAAAAAAAAAATCCAAGGGGCCAGGGATTTAGCTCAGTGGTTCCGGTGCCTGCCTTGCAATCAATGAGTTCAATCCCTGGCACCAAAAAAAAAAAAAAAAAAAATCCAATCTGCAGTGAAATGAGGGAAAAAGTGACCCAGGAAAGATGTCATGAAACAGAACTATTATTAAAACATGATCGGGCTGGGGATTTAGCTTGTTTGTTTGTTTTTTGTTTTGAAACTGGGGATCAAACTCTCGGGACCTTGTGCTTGCGAGGCAGGCAGCGGCACCACTGAGCTAAATCCCTGGCCCTGTTTCTTTGTTTTTTGAGACAGAGTCTCACTTTGTAGTTTAGGCTGGCCTTGAATTCACTATGTAGCCCAGGCTGGCCTGGAACTCACGTCAATCCTCCTTCCTCAGCCTCCCAAGTACTGGGATTACAGGCATGCGCCACCACACCCAGCAAAATTCGTTTTTTTGTAAAATGATGATGAATGATGAGACTCATAGCTAGTTGTTTTCTGGTGTTTTGCTTTGTTCTGTGGTACTGAGGTTTGAAGCTAGAGTCTTCTCACTGAGCTAAAGCCCAGACCATTTTTATTTTTGAATTTGAGACAGAGTCTTGCTAGATTACTCAGGATAGGCTAGAACTTGTGATCCTCCTGCCTCAGCCTTCCAGAGTACTGAGATTATATGTGTGAGCCACCACACCTGGCTCTTTTTCTGTTTTTGGTTAAGACTTAAAGTCTCACTGTCGTCCAGCCTAGCCTCAAACTTTTGGGGTCAAGTTGTCACCTTGTCTCAGCCTCCCAAATAGCTGAGACTATAGGCATATACCACCCCACCCAGATATTATTTATTATTCTTAATGCCTTTTGGCAAAGTGAAAAATGGACAGCCTTTCTAATTTCCTCCCTCAAATTTCTTCCACTTTTCTTTTTTTTTCTTTTTTTTTTTTTTTTTTGGTGTTTTGAGACAAGGTCTCACTATGTGGACGACTATGCCCAGCCCCTTAAATTTCTGGAAAAAAAATTTTTTTTTGTACTGGGGATCAAACTCAAGCCCTTGAATTTGTGAGGCAGGCATGGTGCCACTGAGCTAAATCCCCAGCTGAAATATTTTTAAATTATAAAAATAGTTTTTACTCCCATATATTAAATGTAGGCTAACTGGGCATAGTAGCATATGCCTGTTATCCGAGCTATTTGGGAGGCTGAGGCAGGACAAATCACAAGCTGAAGTCCAAGCTGGGCAATGTAGTGAGACCCAAGTTAAAAAAATTAAATTAAAACTGGGGACAAAAAAAAAAATTAAAACTGGGGATGTAGGGGCCGGGGATTTAGCTTGGTGCTTCTGCCACCTGCTTTGCAAGTGCAAGGACCCGAGTTCAATCCCCTGTACCAAAAAGAAAAAAACTGGGGATGTAGCTCAGTGGTACAGTCATTGCCTGGCACACACAAGGTCCTGGTTCAATCCTCAGTACTTAAAAGGCAGGGGGGCTACATGAAAACAATTTATCATTGGGGTGGGTAGGATATGTATAGAACTGAATGCATGTATTAGACAAGAAAGATCTGAAATCAGTAGTCTACCCTGTAGTCTCAGCTATTGGGAGGCTGAGGTGGGAGGATCACTTGGGCAACATAGTGAGGCTCTATCTCAAAACAACAACAAAACCTAAGTGGCTACCTTAGAAAACTAGAAAAAGAAGAGCAGACTAAATTCAAAATAAGTAAAAGAAAAGAAATAATAAAACTTTGCCATGAGGATCACAAGTTTGAGTCCTGCTTGGGCAACTTAGCAAGACTCTGTCTCAAAATAAAAATAAAAAGATCTGGGGATGTAGCTCTGTGCACAGCCCCTGTATTCAATCCCTAAGGTCAAAAAATAAATTTTAAGCAGAAATCAATGAAATTAAAAACAAAATAAATAGAGAAAGTCAGCACAGGCATGGTGGTGCACGGCTGTAATCCCAACACTCAGGAGGCTGAAGCAGGAGGATTACCTTAAATTCCAGGCCAGCCTGGGCTACATAGTAAGTTCAAGGCCAGCCTGAACTACATAGTGAGACCCTGTCTCAAAAAACAAAAAAGTAAAAAAAAAAAGTCAACTAAGCCAAAACTTGTTCTTTGAAAAGATGAATAAAATAAATACACCTCTAGCAAGACTCACTAAGAAAAAAAGAGACACAAATTTCCAATATCAGAAATGACAGAGCAGACATTGTGGATATGAAAAAAACAATAAAGGAATACTATAAATAATTCTATGTTCACAAATTTGATAACCCACTGGAATGGACAATTATGAAAGATACAATCTGCCAAAATCACATAGAAGAAACAGTCTGAATAGAAGTATATCTATTAAAAATGCAGAGGAGGTCCTGGGATTTAGCTCAGTGGCACCACACCTCCCTGGCAAGTGTGAGGTCCTAAGTTTGATTCCTCTTACCAAAAATAAATAAACAAATAGAAATAAAAATGCAGACTAGGTGCCTGGCACACACCAGAGAGATTGAGAGACACTATGATAAAAATCAGAAAATAAATTGAAAAAAATGTTCCCATCCCTGTCTAACCCAAGCCACTGTCAGAGCCATTGCTATTAACTGTTTTGGTGTGGCCTTTCAGAAATTGTCGGCGCCTGTGCCCATGGACCTATGGGTGTTTCCGGCTATGGCACTGCACTACACTTTTCCCTGTAAGGATATATCTTGATTACACATTTTAACATCATCAGAGCAGCCACTGTGTACATGGACCAGCCTTGATTCCCTCATCCCTTCTGGATGGACATTAGAGGGTTTTTAGACTTTCGCCATCACACACATACTGCAGTCTACGTCTTGTTTAGACATTTTCTTGAACATAAAGTCTATCCATAAGATAAGTTCCTGGACATGGAATTGTGGAGTCTCAGGCTATGAGCATTTTGTATTTTGAAAAATTCTCCCTGTGCTACAGTAGGGGTATATATAGCTCAGTGATAGAACATTTGCCTATCATGTGCAAGGGCCTGGGTTTAATCCCTCACACAGAGACAGCAACAGGCAAGACGGGGACAAAAAGTAAATCAGAAAGTAAGTCTCCCCAGTCTAATTTTTAATTAGAAATTTCACTGGTCTGCAAGATCCCAAATCTAGAAGTTCTGGTCATATCCATCTTTCTCCACTACCACCCTTCCCTGATCCCTAACAACTACTCTGTCCTCTGTTTCTAAAATTTTTTCATTTAAAAATGTTATTTAGGGGCCTGGGGATTTAGCTCAGTGGTTTCGACACCTGCTGTGCAAGTGCAAGGACCGGAGTTCGATCCCCGGTACCAAAAAAAAATAAAAATAATTTTTAAAATTAAAAAATAAAAATGTTATTTAGGGTTGGGGATTTAGCTCAGTGGTTCCAGTGCCTGCCTTGTAAGCGCAAGGTCCCGAGTTTGATCCCCAGTTCCAAAATAAATAAAAATAGTAGGGCCGGGGATTTAGCTCAGTGGTTCCTCCTCCCACCTCACAAGTGCAAGGTCCTGAGTTCAATCCCCGGTACCAAAAAATAAATAAATCAATAAAAATAGTAATAAAATGTTATTTAAGGGCTGGGGATTTAGCTCAGTGGTTCTGCCGCCTGCCTTGCAAGCACAAGGTCCTGAGTTCAATCCAAGTACTAAAAAAAAATGTCATTTAAGGGAATCATATGGTATATAAGCTTTGGGGAGTGGCTATTTTTGCTTGGCATAATGCCCTGGAAACTCATTCAAATTGTTGTATGTGTCAATAGTTTGCTGCTTTGTATTGCTGAGTAGTATTTCATGTTATAGATGTACCATGGTTTCTTTAAAAATTCAACCTTTGAAGGACATCTGGGTTGTTTGCAGGCTTAGGGTATTACAAATATAGCTGCTTAGATTGCTGTGGGGTTTTCTTTCTGTTTTTTGTACTAGGGATTGAACCCAGGGCCTTCACACCAAGCTATATCCTGAGCCCTTCTTATTTTCTTATTTTGTGTCAGAGTTGCTCTAAGTTGTTAAGTTGCCCGGGCTGGGCTTGAACTTTCAAGTGCTGCGATTATAGGCATGCACCACCACATCTGGCTTTAGAACATTCTTGTATAATTCTTTATGTAAACACAAATTTCCATTTCTCTGGGATAAATGCCCAAAGCAATTGCTGGGTTGTATGTTGCATGCATGTTTAGTTTTGAAAGAAACTCCCAAAAGAATAAAAGAAAAGAAAAAACCCTGCCAAACTGTTTGCCAAGTGACTGTACCATTTTATATTCCCATTGGGAATATCTGAGTGATCTAGTTTCTCTACACTAGCTAGCATTTGTTTTTTTTGTTTGTTTGTTTTTGTTTTTATTTTTTTGGTACCAGGGATTGAATTTGGGTCCTTGCATTGCGAAGCAGGCGGCAAAAACCATTGAGCTAAGTCCTTGGCCCTCTATCATTTGTTTTATCACACTTTTTATCTTAGCCATTCTGATAGGTGTATATCATTGTGGTTTTACTTAGCATTCCCTGATGGCTGATGATGTTGGTCACCTTTTAGTGTGCTTATTTTCCATCTGTATTACCACTTTAGTGAAATGTTTATGTCTTTTGCCCATTTTCTAATTAGATTGTTTCTTCTTTTTACTACTGAGGGGTTTTTTTTTTTCCTTGAGACAAGGTCTTGCTGGCCTTGAACTCACTATGTAGCCCAGGCTGGCCTTGAACTCACAGTGATCCTCCTGCCTCAGCCTCTCAAGTGCTGGAATTACAAGCATGCACCACTACATCCAGCCCTACTATTTTTCTTTGTTTTTGGTACTGGGGATGGAACTCAGGACCTTGGGCTTGCAAGGCAGGTGAAGTGCCACTGAGCTAAATCCCCAGCCCCCTACTACTGAGTTTTGAGAGTAATATTCTAGAGGCTGTAGCTTTTCTTCTCATTTTCACATGGGATTTCACAGAGAAAAAAATTTTAATTTCAAAGAGATCCAGTTTATTAATTTTTCCTTTTATGGATCATGTTTTTGGTATCAAATTTTCTTTTAGCTTTGAACCATGTAAATGTATTTCCTTTAAATTTTCTAATTGAAAAGACTGATAAATAAAAGGCAGAAATACTAAAATGTCTGCTACATACCACCTCAAATCATGTTGTACCAGAGCTTTGAAAAACACCCAACCAGTGCACAAGAGAGGCCCCAGGGTGTGGGATCAGGAGAGAGGAAGGTTCCCAGTGGTCATGGCCCCCAGTAATACCCGTCATTCCCTCCTGCAGATCAGCATGTACCTGACATCACGAATCCTGTTCGCCCTGTGTCGCCTGGGTGTGGAGAAGGGCTACATCCCTGAGCCCAGGTGGGACCCATTCCCTTTGCACACTGGGGTGGTTTGGGGAATTGTGCTCTGGCTCTTTGAGTACCACCGGCACACGCTGCAGCCCTCACTGCAGTCCTCCATGACCTACCTCTATGAGGACAGCAACACGTGGCACGACATCACAGACTTCCTCATCTACAACAAGAGCTCCTCTTCCAAGTAGCATGGCCTGCGGTGCCTCTGGGGGCTCCTCCAACCTGACAGGCTCCAGGCAGAGTCCAGCTGTGGCTTGAAGTTTGGATCCACCACAAACCCTCGCAGAGGATCTGCCTTCTCAAAGTCATGGGCTTCACACTCCAACTTGTGTCATCCCAGGGTTCCAGGTGCCGAAGTAAAAGCACTGATTTTCCCAGTGGTACTTTTGAATGGTGCAAAAAGTGGCTGAATCCGCCTGAGTTTTAGGCTCCGTTCCAGCTATACTGCTATCTTGGGTGAAACCAGGGGAGGTCACATCCCGCTCTGGGCCTCAGGGGTTGTGGAGCTCAGAGGAACACCCTTGGAGGAGGGTCTCTTTCTGTTGGGTACATTTGTTCTTCTGCTGTCCATAGGTAACATGGGACTCCTTGCTGGTGGGCTCTGGGTTGCAAATGCTTAAAAAATTAAGTTCCTTGTCTTGTATGTTGTATTGAAGTAGTTCTAGAACCGTACTGTCTGAAAGAAGCACAATCTGAGCCATATATGTAATTAAAATTTTTCTAGGGCTGGGGCTGTGTAGCTCAATGATAGAGCATTTGCCTACCATGTGCTAGACCCTGGGTTCCATTCCCAGCACTGGAAGAAAAAAGTAAAAACAAATGAGATTAATCTTAATTATATGTTTTAACTTAATATTTTGAAAATACTGTCATTTAACATAGAAAATTAATGAGTTACATTCTTTTTTTTAATACTAAGCCTTCAAAATTGGTTGCATAGTTTACACTTCCAGCACACCTTGATTGGGACCAGCCTCATTTCCAGGGTCTAGTAGCCACGTGTGGCTAGTGGGCTACTGTACTGGACAACACAGGTACACTTCTGACCTTGCAGAAGATTCTAGTGGACCATGCAGATCTAGAGCTGAAGGACCTGAGTTTGAGTCCCCACTCCATCACTATGTAACCTTGGAGAAGGTTCTTGACCTTTCAGAGCCTCAGTTTCTCATAAAATGGGGATAATCATGATAATTGGTGTCCACATTGGACTCTTATAGCTATAATTACTGCCACTAGTACTAATTACTCCAGTTGAATGAGTTTCTACTTCTTCCTGGGTGCTTTGCACATACTGTTTTTAACCTGTACATTGACTATACAAGCATGTGTGTTGATCGCCATTTTATTTTTATTCCCAATTTAAAGATGTAGAAACTGAAGGTCAGAGAGGAGAGGTATAATAGCCAAATCAGTTTTTGAACCCAGCTGTGTCTTATTTCAAAGCTCATGTTTTGTTCAGTGCCTTGTTTAAATTTTAAAACCTAACCCATCCTATGCAAATGTTAGCTACTTACAAGATCTGACCTAGAATGGGTGCAGACTCAAATGCCTGTAGTGACAGAAATGGAAATGTTCAGGGTGCTGTACAGTAGGGAGTGACAGGACACAGGGAACTGAAGACCAGTGGGGCAGTCAAGTGTTCTGAAACCACTATGATGGGCCGGAGATTTAGCTCAGTGGTGCTGCTCCTGCCTTGCAAGCGCAAGGTCCTGAGTTCAATCCCTAGTACCAAAAATTTTTTTAAATAAATAAATAAATAAAACCACTATGATGGACAAATCAGCTCTCCAGGAAAATGTGGCCCATAGGCGACCAAGTTGAGATTCAGTGTAGGAGGAATACTTCCATTAATACATGTACCCCAGGGAAGCTGAGGCAGGAGGCTCAAAAGTTCAAGTCCCATCTGTGCAATTTAGCAAGACTGTGTTTCAAAATAAATTTTTTTCTAAAAGGTTGAGGATGCTGGGGATGTAGCTTAAGGAGAAACCATCCCTAGGTTTGATCCCCAGTACCTCCCTCAAACAATTATATATATATACTTACCAGAGGCAACCAGAAGCAGTGGTGCATGCCTGTAATCTCAGCTACTTTGGAGGCTGAGACAGGAGGATCACAAGTCTGAGACTAACTCAAGGAGACCCTGGCTCAAAAATGAATATTGGGTCGGGGATTTAGCTCAGTGGTGCCGCTGCCTGCCTGCAAGAGCAAGGTCCTGAATTCGATCCCAGGTACCAAAAATAAATAAATAAATATCATATATGATATTTACCCCATCTGTTTCTTTTTCTATTTTAGAAGTTAGTAGAAATGTACACAGGAGTTACTGAAGGGCTTTTTTTAGGGTACCGGGGATCAAACTCAGGTCCTTGTGCTTGTGCAACAGGTGGCAAAACCACTGAGCTAAATCCCCGGCCCATGGCTTATTAAAGCACAGATTCTGATTCAGAGGGCCTGAGGTGGAGCCCATGAGGCTTCTCATAGGCTGCTCCCAGATGAGCCCACCCTGAGTACTGAGATGGGGCCAACCATTACTTTCCCATGTGACCAGAGTGTTGGCAGTCAAGGTGGGATTATGTCTGATTTATCAGCAATGCTCTCAGTCACAACAGTTGGAGTAGGTGATTTTGGAAGTCCTTTCACTCACTCTGGAGGTTATAGGGAGGGGGCAGGTTGCCCTTCACCTCTGTAATTTATCACTCTGTGCACACCAGCAACTTCTCAGTGGCTGCCCCCTGTGTCTTTCCGCCCAAGGACTCGGCTTGCCCCTCATGCCTGCTTTGCACCCTGCAGCAGGTCTAAGGTGCTGGGGGATTAACTCGCCCCTTGAAGCAGTCCTCTGCAAGGACCGATCGAAACCACGGATAACTCCAAGGTGCCAGTTCGTGGTCCGCTCAGCAGGACTGAGCTCCCTGCCCATAGTGCAAGTGGCTGATAACATGCCCTCTCCATTCTCCCTACCTCACTCCCCTGCCAGTGCCTCCCGGGACCACTAATCACATAAACCACTTGCATTCAAAGCCTCCTCTTTGAATCTGCTGTTGGGGGAATCCAAACTAAAATCGGTCTCTGCTCCGGCAGGCTGAGAGGCTGTGTCATGGGGTGAAACCGGAGTTAGGGGCTCAAGGCCTGGCCGCTCCCTCTGTTTCCTTGGACAAGTGACTTGCCTGTTTTGCGCCTCTGTTTACTCCTCTGTAAAAGAGGAGTTGTAATAGTGCATACCTTATGGGGTCTGGGGGATTAAACAGTACAACACAAAGTGAGCTGCCAATAAATGTTGCTGTTATTTGTGACCTAGCCTGCAAATGTATGAGGAAGTGTGCTCCTGAGAACCAGGCACACCCTGCTTTTAGCCTGTCTGACCCCACAGTTGAAGGTAAAGCCTTGGCTGCCTGCCCTCCCAAAGGCCCCCTGCTGCTGCCTGGGCTCGGCCGGCTCCACCACCGACTGTCTCTGCTCTCTAAGAATAGGTTTCCCCCGCAGATGGCATCTCTCTGAATCCTGCCAGAGCATCTGGTGCCTCCAACTGCACGCTCCAGGGAGGAAGGCGGGGTGGTCCCTGCCGAGGAGCAGGGCTCTGGCTTCTAGCAGCCCTGGTAAGAGCTTCCTGCTTCCTTCCTCCCTGAGCTTCCATTTGCTAGAATCTGTAGAACAGGGATTACCAAAGGGCCCTTGGCATGTGATAGCCACTACAGCCCCTGAATGCTAGTTTCAGAAACAGCATAGTGTTTTAAATTTCATCTGTATTTGTTAAGCACCTGCTACATTCATATTAAGTTTTTTAACATGCATGACTGTAAAATCCTTTTAAATCAATAATACATATACTTAGTACAATATCAAATGGTATAAAAAGGTATATTAAGGGGGCTGAGGATTTAGCTCAGGGGCACCGTGCCTGCCTCAAAAGCGCAAGGTCCTGAGTTTGATCTCTAGTACCAATAAAACAGAAAAGGTGTATAAGGGAAAAGTCAGGTTCCCTCCTACACCTAAGCTCCACCTGAGCCCCCCTGCCGGGGATACCACTGGTCACAGTTTCCAGCACTGCACAGTCATCTCTTCCTAAGAAACTTGGACCTTGCAATGTCATCTCAGCTCTTTAGCATTTCCTCCTGTCCTCTGTGTATTTGTTTCTCTTTGATTAATAATCCAAATAAAAGTGAGTGTCTGAGCCCATGTGGTCTCCACTGCAGTGGAACCTCCTGAATAGCCAGTAAAGTCTTCATTGTGAGCAGCATAACAACGAACTGCCCAGAAATCCTGAGGCTATGGCATATGATGGCCTGTGCTCAGGGCCTGAGAACTCCAAGTGAACAGCAAAGGACAGAAGTGGAGTTTATTTGGCACCCTTCTGCTCCACTCCCAAATTAGAGATCCTTAAGGAAGCCCATGTGAGAGGCGATGAGTCATGGGCTGAGATGCCAGCAAACTGCCGAGTCTGATGCTGTCCGCTTGGCTTCCAAATCCAGGCTCCACAAAGGGTCCTGAAGGGCAGCGCCTCTGCGCGTCGTTTGCTTTTACTGCTCCCTGAGTGCACGTCGGGCTTGTGAGAATGAGGCTGAGAGTCGGGCATCCTCCTCAGACACCACAAGCTGTGACTTCAGATAGTCGATTCCTTTGAGAAATTAGAAAGTATTTACAAAAAGAAATGTTATTTTCTTCTTCCTTGTCTTGTTGCAGATTCCCAGGGAGAGAATGAGAGTGTTCTACTTCAGCCTGGAAGAGCATTTCTGAGTGAGGGTGTTGAGCTTAGGGCCCAGGTGGAGGACAGAGGAGGGCTGAGTGCTGAGCTTTGGTCTGAGGAGCAGCTTCCAGATGGAGGGCTCCCTGTGTTCCGAACCAGGGCTCCATGCTCCAGGCTTCTGTGGGTGCCATTATTTAATGAACAAGACAGAGGGCAGGTGGAATTGAAATGCAGGTCCTGGAAATCCTATTCTCACTGCACTTCTGGGCTCCTCACTCTGGCCTCTCCCAAAGGGCTGGGAGAAGGAGGGGGCTAGGCCACATCAGCTCTTTGGAGACTTTTTATGTTTTATCTCACTATGAAGTCCAGACTGGCCTTTAATTCATTATGCAGTCCATACTAGCCTCAAATTCTAAGCAATCCTCCTGCCTCAGCCTCCCAAATGCTGGGATTACAGGCATGGGCCACCATGGCCAGCTTGAGATACTTCTTTTAGAGTCTTTGCTTATGTGTGTGATGAACCCCTCTGGCACCTAGAGACTATCAACTATTCTCAGTGCTGTTTCCAAAGCACATTCAATAAAATACATAGGATTTCAAAGGAAATCCATTATAACAAGTATTGAAATAGTTACCAAAACAGATTTGTGAGTATGTATATGCTGCCAGGGCCTCAAACATGTTAGGCAAGTGCTCTACCACACTGATCTATACCCTCTACCCCAAAATATTTTTTAAAATGTGTGATTTAGGAATACAGTATATGTTCTTTAAAAAACAAAACAAAACTAGGTGTGGTGGTGCACACCTATAATTCCAGCACTCAGGAGGCTGAAGCAAGAGAATCATCATAAGTTTGAGCCCAGCCTGAACTACATAGCAAGACCCTGTCTCAAAAAAAACTAATTTTAAAAAAAGAAATATATGTTCTTAAAAAAAACTGACAACAAAACATTAAATAA